GAAGAACAAAAGGACAGCAACTTGTCTGTTCCCCTTCCCCCAATTCCCCAGCACTGTTCCCATCCCCCCAATTCCCCAATTAAAAAAAAATCTTTAAAAAAAAAAAGGGACAGAACCTCGGGTCATTAAAAACCTAGGAATGAGGAAAAAAATTCCACAAAGGTTAAAAGAAGGAAGTTATGGAGAAGGTGTTTTCTAAACAGAACGTTTTGCAAGGAAATTTTCCAAATTCCTCTATTCACAAGATTTCCTTTGGTTTACTACAAAGATTATTTCTTTCCAGTTTGCATCCTCCCTCCTCACTCCCTGTTCTCCCTTTTCCCCCTCCCCCCCTCCCCCACACCATTTATAAGAGAAACGGAGAAATGAGAAAGTCAGGGGAAACTGGGAGTACACGTGCCAGCAGGAGGAGGCAGCTGAAAAAACGTTACCAGAGAAAAAGCTAACGACAAGGCTGGGCAAAGGTGCAAGGGAGAGAGGGAAGAAGGCACAGGAAGGGCGCACACACCGAGTCGCTCTCTCAGTCCCTCTCGGCGTCCTCCCTGCGTCAGCGCTCAGCCGTAGGCTCCGCCCAGCTGCCCACACATTCTGCGGGCGGGGCTTGGAGGACTGAAGCCGACACCTGAGAAAAATGTTCAAGAACCACCAGTGAACGTCGGAAGGCTTTTAATCATTGTACTGAAGTGTGAGCGGTTTTCTAGAAGGAAGGGTACCTCGGCAATATAAATACGGTGCAACGACTTGAAAATCAACAGTAAATCATTAAGATTACAGTAGAACCTGTACAGCAATAATTCACTGAATGCAACTAAAGGCTAACTGGTTATATAAGCCAAACCTGTGAATTATATTACACTGTTGAGAGGCATATACACAGTAGTCAAGGATTGTAACATTGGGACCAGACTTCCTGGATTCAAATACTTATTCAGGTACTTTCCAATTGTGATCAGCAGCAAGTTAAAAACCATTTCATTATTATTAAACTATTTTAAATGTTTGCTTCAAGAAAACATTTGCTGTTCAAATCATTAAAATTACACGTTTCTGAAGTGCTTATCTTTCTTTTTTTCCTCAAAAGAAACAATTTATTTAGAATAAAACAAAAGCAGCTCAACTCATGTGAGCACACATTTGAGTGTCAGCTCCTTTTAAGCTGTATGAGCCACAAAACGCGTTTTTCTTTACTTTTCCAGAAGTCTTGTATACACCACACAAAACAAGAAGTCATTTTTTTCCCCCACTTGAAACACCTGCATTGGAATCACAATAGCAGATACTCAACTTTAAGCTGCCATTTCAGTAGAATGCACAAAAACTAAACAGATTAGCCGTCTTCCATCAAGAGGCCCAAGTAAGCTCCACATAGGGCGCAATTTCTCTTCAAAAAGATCTATTAGAGCTTAGAAATCCGTATCTTCACCCGCTGTTCACCAGTTTTGCTTGTGGGGGTGGGAGGAGAGAGAAGAGGAGGTTATGGTTATAGTGATGGCCCTAAGGGGAGAAAATTACTTCAGGACCTACCTAGGTTTACATTTGTGGGGGTTTTCTTAGAGGAAAAAAAAAATATGCTGGGCCCCGCCACTTGCACCCTGAAGACACAGGTTGGCCGCCAGATTTCCCGCCGCCACTCCGGCGGCTCAGCTGGTTGTCACCCACGTTCTCACAGCTCCGCTCTACGCTTGACGGATAGCCAATAGCGTACGAGGACGCTACGCAGCGTGGTGACGTAAGAGCTGACGCCTGCGTGATGATTCAGGCGGCGTCACGGTCTCCAAGGAGCGGGCCGGAGCACCGGTTTCAAAGTCGCAGGGCGGGCCGTGTGAACGTCCCTTGCCAGCCCGGGCCATCCTGGAGTCGCCACCCACTCCATAAAGGACGCAGCCACCCGGATTCCCGCCGGCTCCCTCCAATCTCTCCTAAGTGCCCCGGCGCGACCCGGAGTGACCCGCGAGACGCCTATATCCAGCCGTGTCCCAGTCCGACCCGGCTGAGAGTCGTGTGAACGTGGAGCAGAATTCACTTGGCGGGTCCCCAGCCAACCTGAAATCTGGTCTCTCTCCTGAGCGAGGGACTCGGCTGGGACTTAGGAGGAGGAGGCGCGGCGGCGTGAGTAGGATGCTAATTACACAGCTTGACAACCTCCAGACCGTTGTCTTAATTTTGTTTTCCCGCACAGCGAGCTCTGTGTGTTTTTGAAGAAACTCAAGGTGGTGAAAAGCTCCAAACCTAGTTATTGTCGAAATGGCCACAGAAATCGACTTTCTGAGAGATCAAAGTAAGCTCCATGTTGTTTTACGTAATAGTTAATGTCATCGTTGACCAACTAATATTTTTTGAATGCCTGTTGAGTGCGTGGAAATTTCTAAAAACTTAAAGAAGTTAGCTGCAGAAAAAGCTTGGTTGCGTATATGAGGACGTGTATATATAATTAAGCAGAACCATTTGGTAAATACTTGCAGATTCCTTAAGCTTACTTACATGGGACTCTATTAGCCACTAAACACGTTTGTTATTCTCCTCACATGCTCTGGAGAAATTAGAGGGCTAATGGCCAAGAAAAGTTTCCAAGTCTGCAGTTAGAACCTAGAGGCACAGCTCTGACCATTTGTTCAAAAGCTGTTTATTGAGATCATCCTGTTTCAATTATATGCCAGCACAATACAAGCATCGCTGCTAAAAAATGAAGAGGACAGATCTACCCTCCAAGAATTTAATTTGAGGAGGGAAATATATAAATTACACAAATACACTGAAATGGCAGCAACTGCTGCTAACTCTTTTGCCTCAGTTTGCTCATAGGGTCGTTGGAATGATGAAATGAGTATTAAACTATGTAAAAGATTTAAAATAGGATCTGACACATAGTGCTAAATAGACAAATATTAACCATTACAGGCTTATGATTAACTGTGGTCAAGGAAGGTGCCATTTAGCCTGGAATTTGAAGTGCTAATGTGAATTTACTAGAGAAAGAGCTGTGTAGGTATCCCAAATATAGAGTTGTTGGGAAAGTCATGATGTATTTTTTTCTCTGTTTTTCGTTGCAAAAATGCATCATGACTTTTCCAACAACCCAATAGAACAGTATGTGCAACCTTCTTGCAAGAAGGTTGGCTTGAATGGAATACGGTGTATATAGGGGAATGACAAGTGGAGCTGAAAGAGAAGAATGGGGCTGGGTAGTGAAGGGCCTTGTCTACTGTGTGTTAAATTTACAGGAACCACTGAAAAGCAATCAGTTGAGAATAACATCAAATTCTGATTTGGAAAACCCAGTGTGGCTGTTACGAGGAACATACATTATAGCATAGTGCAGTTATGTCACTGTTGTCATCACATACATTATAGCATAGTGCAGTTATGTCACTGTTGTCATCCTCAAGGTAAGAAGTGAACTGAGGTTGCTATAGTGAGATTGGAGATTAGGGGATTTGGGAGAAAGAGGTAAAGGGCAACTCAGATTTTTGTCTTGAACAACTGGAAAGGTGGGTGAAAAAATGGTAAGTTCCATTTTGGAAATACTGTCGACCGGTGGTTAAGAGCTCAGCCTCTGCATTCAGTCTGCGTGGACTCGTACCTTAGCTGTATCTCTTTCCCGGTCTTTGGGCAAGTTACTTAGTGTCTCTGTGCCTCAGGTTTCTCATTGTAAAATGGCCCTAGTATTATAGCACAATAACCCTCATGGGGTTGTTGTGAGAATTAAATGAGATGATGCAAGTAAAACACGTAGCATGATGTCTAGTACCTATTAAGTGCACAGTATATATATATATATATATATATATATATATATATATATTATTCAAAATCATTAATGACACTATAATGATACTATAATATTAGCATTATTCCTTAGGTTCGAAGTGGGAACACCCCCACACACACACCCCATAAGGCGGACTAGCTGAACAACACAACTCCTGAGTGGCATGGGACATAAATTGGGTGGAAGGAATTTGGCTGGATGGGGAAGAGACTTGAGGCAGTCAGAAACTGTGAGTTCTATGGGAGTGAGCCAGCCAGGATGGTTCAATAAAACTGAACTCCAAGCACCAGAGAAAACCAAATAAGACAGTAGAAGCATAGTACATTACTTCTTGAAAAATGAGTGGCAGTTTATTAGAAGATGAGTGGAGTGGAAGACGGGAATCTCGGACAGAGGGAGAAGAAGCAGCATAGGCTCAGAGGTTTGAAGTAACAGTGCTTATTCAGGAATTTGGAGCATGAATGGTAGGGATTGCATGAAGAGATGGATGTCTACGACCCTCCCCTTTTTTCCTTTAACTGGACCTAGCATGCCCATACACCTGGCAGGTTACCCTCTTAGAGAACCACCAAACACCAGCTAGGTAAATATAGATTCCTTACCCTTCTACCTACCTCTGACCTTCTCTACATTGACTATTATTAATCTTGATTGCCTCTTTTCATTTGCTCCATTTGGATTTGGTAATCTAGCTCAGGACAATCTGATTTGGTATTTTTCACCTGGCAACTCCACACCCAACCAGGCTTCTAGGAAACTTCTAGCATATTTGAAGTACACCATTCTTCCACCTCCAGCTGAGAAGGAAGATGTGATAGTTCTTAGGGACCTGTTCAAAGAGGGACTTGCGTATCAAGCTAAGAAATGAAGAATTCATTCTTGTAATGGGGATTATGAGCAGTGGGGATGGTCTCATTTTTTCCTTTCATTCTCTTAGCAATATCTTTCACAGAGCAGAACTTTTTGATTTTGATGAAGTTCAGTGCATCAATTTGTTCTTTTATGGATCTGTGTCCTATCTAAGAAATCTTTTCCTAACCCAAGGCTGCCAAAAAAAATTTTTAGAAGTTTTGTAGTTGCAAGTTATACATTTAGATCTATGATCCATTTTGAGTTAAGTTTTGTACAGGCGGGGGGTAAGGGTCGAGGTGTACTTTTTTACATATGGATGCCCAAATGAAAAGACTGTCCTTTCTCCATTGGCGTACCTTTGCACCTTTGTTAAAAATCAGTTGTCTTTATTTGTGTAGATCCATTTCTGTACTCTGTTCTGTTCTATTGACCTGTTTGTCTATCTGGACACCAATATCCTAATGTCTTCATTATTGCAGTTTTGTAATAAGTCTTAAAATCAGATAGTGTTAGTCTTTAAAATTTGTTCATTTTCACAGTTGTTTTGGCTATCCTAGGTCCTTTGCACTTCCATTTACATTTTAGAAGTAGCTTGTCCATTTCTCCAAAAAAGAGGATGGGATTTTGATATGCATTTCATTGCATCTATTGATCAATTTGTGTAGAATTCATATTAATGACATTGAGTTCCCTGATCAATGAAAGGTGTATCTTTCCAGTGATATGTCTCTTCATTAATTTCTCTCAGGAATATTTTATAGTTTCTAGTATGTAGGTTTTGCACACTTTTGTCAGATTTATCCCTATGTATTGCTGTTTTTTATACTATTATAAATGATATTATTCTTTTATTTTCTAATTTATCATTGCTACTATGTAGAAATCAACTTTTTTTCATATTGTACCCTGCAACCTTTCTAAACTCACTATTAGCTCTAGTAGGTTTTTTTAAAGTCCATCAGATTTTTTTCATAGACAATCTTTTTTATCTTGTAAATAAAGACAGTTTTACTTCTTCGTTTCCAATTTGAATGCCTTTGATTTTATTTTCTTGCCTTATTGCACTGGTTAGAACTTCCAGTACAGTACTGAACAGAAGTGGTTGGAGTGGACATCTTTGTCTAGTTCCTGATTTTAGGGAAAAAACACCTGTCATTCAGAATTAAGTATGATACTAACTGTAGGTTTTTCATTGATATTCATAATAGGTTGAGTATGTTTCTTTCTATTCTTAGTTTTCTGAGAATTTTTATCAGAATGGATGTCAGATTTTTTTCAAATGCTTTTTCTGCATTTATTAGGATGATTATTTTTCAGTTTTAGTTTGTTAATACGGTGATTTACATTGATTAAATTTCAAATGTTAAGCCCCCTTTCCCTTTTTAGGATAAACTCCTCTTCATCATGATGTATTATCCTTTTTATATATTGTTGAATTTGATTTTTTAAAGTTTGTTTAAAATGTTAACATCTATGTTCCTAAAGCCCCCCTTTTTTTCCTTTTAATGTTCTTTCTCTGGTTTTGGTGTCAGGTCATGCTGTCTCAATAGAATTATTTGGAAAATGTTTTGTCCTCTTTAACATTCTGGAAGAGTTTGTATAGAATTGGTATTATTTCTTCCTTAAATGTTTGGTAGAATTCACCAGCGAAGCCAATTGGACATAGGCATTTTTTCTGTAAAGATTTTTAACTACAAATTCAATTTCTTTAATAGGTAAAGTGGCTACTCAATACTCTACTGTGTACTTACCCTCTGCAGATCTCTTAAGTCCGGAGTTCTGTCTCTGTGCAGCTCTCTCTTCTGTACGTTGAATTGCCTATTTTAATTTACTTGGCTTCCATGATTCTCAGCTCCATCTCCTTAATTCAGAGAATCTGCTGATCTCTCCCTGAATTTTTCCTCTGGTGCCACAGCCTGGAAAGTCTCTCAAGCCATTAAGCCGGGGCAATCATATTTGTCGCCTTATTTGGTTTGCATCTCCATCATTATTGTCTGATGGCTAGTGTTTTACAAACTGCTGTTTTATTTATTTTATTTGTTTGTTTTGGTCGTATGAGGTGGTAAGGTAGCCCTTGTTATTTCATCTTGGGTATAAGCAGGAGTCCTGTCCAAGTTGCCTTACTTTTAAAATCTTAAACACAAGTATCTTACTCTACTGTAACTATTCCTTGACTTCATCAAAACCAATTATCTTCGAACTCTTCATTTTCTTTAATTTTTTACCTTTCCCAGCTTGCTTTTACTACTTTATTCCACAGGCTGTAAACATTGCCCATTAGTTCATCTGCTGCTTGACAGCAACCTTAGTGTGAGGATGGCCCACTTTTCTCTAGCACATGCTCAGTAACATCGCATCCCTACATCAGTTGCTTAGTTTTCCTTTACAGTTATCACACTCAACTGCTCAGTAACCATAAGTTAAATATCAACTTTCAAATGCCACCACAAATTCAAGGTTTACTCATAACTACCAATAAGTGATGAGCTGGAATTTGAACCCAGTCTAGTTTCAATGTCTTAATTACTACCCAACAAAGACACTTGTAAGAAAGAAAAATTATAGGCCTGTTTCACCTATGCACATGAAAACTAAAATGCTAAATAATATATTACTGACTCTAGCAGTGAATGTGTGTGTGTGTGTAGATATATGCATACACATACAATTGTCTTCTTATTGGGTTCATTCCAGCAATGGAAAGATAATTAGTATTAGAAAATTATTGAGTGTATAAAAGAACACCTATATTAATGGAGAAATATATCAAATTTGTGGATTAGAACACTCAATGTAGTAAATATGTCAGTTCTCTCACAAATTAATGGGTAGATTAAATTGACAATATGATTCTAAAATCTATGTGGAAGAGCTAAGAATAGCCAAGAGAGTTTTAAAAAACATCAAGTTGGGAAATTTCATTTTACCAGCTAGTAAGACTTATTATAAGTGTCCAATTATTAAATCAACATTTTATTGGCAAATTGATAAATATAGAGGTCAGTGGAATAAATTAGCAGAGAAAAAGACACATACATCCATGAATACTTGTTATCTGAACGAACAGATACTTTTCTATTACACTAATAAAAAAATGGTTTAAAAATATGACCAGCCCATTTACAAAAAATAAAACCTGAAAAACTGCTAAAAATATAAAAAGATGTCCATTTCATCAGTAGTCCAGAAAATGCAAATTAAACAACAGTGAGATAAGTACTTTTGAATGAATGAAGATTTAAGTTATAGTAAAATTTTCTGCATAGTAAAGTCAACCTATGAAGATTAAATGTGTTTCCCTCATTATTATTCCACAATGACTCCTCAACCTATTTTAACCACTGAGAACTCAGATTTTGTGTTTTTTCTGATTTGAAAGCCATATCAGGAAAAAAAAAGTATTTGTATTGGAATTATTATATCCCTAGCCAAAGCTCCAACCTCCTTGTAAGACTTCGATGGAAGAAAAGTATTAGGCAGAAACCAGATCCTATAAAATGTTAGTCCATTTTAAAAGTTCTGAGGATAGCAATAAAAAATTGTGGGGAATTCCTTTTAAACTCAATAAAAATTTGAAAACCATTTACATTGTCAGTACTCTGTAATTATTGTTTCTTTATTAGGAGCACATATATCTGTCATTTTTCTTCACTAAATTATGTATACTTTTAAGGAAAAACACTATTCTCTCAAATTCCCATCATAGAATGTATACACATACATGTGTGTACACTATATACACATTTTTTTGTTTATATGTATATATCTAGTTAATGTGTATTGCATATATATGCATAGTTGCTTATGTATAACATACACATGAAACTAAAGAAAACAAATATAAAGCTAAGTGAATTACAAAATTCAAAACTCCGGTAACTGCATCCCAGGTCAAGATTGCTAGGACCCCAAGGAGCCTCCTTGTAATCATAATCTCTTTCCCCTCCTCAAAGATAACTGAAGATACCAATATCTTTAATTTTCCATCATAGTTTACTTTTGCCTGTGTTTGAACTTTATATAAATGGAATCATAAACTGTGTATTCTTGTCTGTCTGGCTTCTTTTACTCAACATTATGTTTTTGAGCTTTATCCATATTCTTGCATGCAGATGTAGTTTTTTAATTTCATTCCTGTAGGATGTTCCAGTTGTGAAATCTATTATATTCATCCATTCTTCTTTTGATGGATATTTGCCATTGTTTCCAGTTTGAGGTCATAGAGAATAATGCTGTTATCAACTTGTTGTTGTTGTTGTTTTGTTTTGTTTTTTGTTATGGCCCTTGATGCTCAAGGGCACACATTTTGGTTGGGTATATTCCTAGGAATTATGTGTATGTTTAATTCTAAAGCTGTACTAATTTACACTCCCACCAGCAGTGTATGGGAGTCTTTTTAATGCCACATTGTCACCAACATTAATTTTCTAATTTTAACTCTTTATTGTATTGTCATTTTAATTTGTATTTTCCTGATGCCTAATGAGATTGAGCAGCTTTTCTATGTTTATTGACCACCTAGGTAACCTTTTTGTGAAGTGCCCGATCAAGTCTTCTTACCACTTTTCCAAAGTGTTGTCGGCCTTTTAGTTGATAGAATTTTTTTTCGTGTATTCCAGATATAAGCCCTTTGTCAGTTATACGTGTTGGAAATATTCTCTCCATGTTCATGGCTTGCATTTTTACTCTCTTAACAGTCTCTTTTTGATGAACGGAAGTACTTACATGTAATTTTAATGTGTTCCAGTTTATCAGTTTTTTCCTTGATAGTCAGTGCTTTCTGTGTTCTGGTTTTAAAATCTTTTCCTACCCTAAGGTTGTAAAGATGTTATCTTTGTTTCCTTCTAGAATTTATTGTTTTGACATTCACAATTAGATCTTCATTTCACCTAGAATTGATGATTATGGATGAAGTTTTATTCTTTTCCGTGGAGCTATCCAGTTGACCCAGAACCACCTATAAAACGATTATCCTTTCCTCCTCTCTGCTCTGGAGTGCCCCTTTGATCATAATTCAAGTGCTCATATATACATGAGTGTATTTCTGGATTCTCTTCCATTGGTCAATTTTGTTTTTCTTATATGACTATTACAATCTCTAAATTACTGTAGCTTTATAGTAAATCTTGATTTTGGGTCTTATCCGCCCATTCTTATTTCACAAAAAGTCTTAACTATTCTTGTTACATTTCCACCTGTTTTAGGAATTGACTTTAGAATCCCAAAATCCTCTTTGGGGATTTTAATTGGGATTGCATTGAACCTATAGATCAATTTGGGGAGAATTGACATCTTGAAATACTGACTCCTGTAAACCATGAGTATCTCTCCATTTATTTAGGTCTTTAATTGATTTCCTGAATGTTTCATAGTTTTCTATGTAAGAATCTTACACATCTTTTTCCAAATTTATTTCTAGACATTGGTATTTTTAATGTACTGTAATTAATACCTTCTATTATTTCCTGACTTTATGTTGCCAGTATATGGAAATACAATTTTTTTATGTTGATATGTATCCAACAACTTTGCTAAACTTAATTATTGATTCTAAAAATTTATCTGACTCTTTTTTTGTATTTACCACATATACACTTATAGCTAAATACATAATGACAGCATTTTCTTCCTCTTAAGTCTTTATACCTTTTATTTCTTTTGCTTGCCTTATTGTGTTAACGTAGACCTCCAGTAGATGTCCAGTAGATAAATGTTGCAAGAATTTATCCTTCTGTCATTCCCAATTTCCAAGGGAAAGTTTTCAACATTTTTACCCTTAAGTACTATGTTTATTGTGGGTTTATGTAAGAATCCATTATCACATTAAGGAAGTACCTTTCCATTCCTACAGTCCTAAAGCTTTGTAATGAATATATCTTGAATTTCATCACATGCTTTTCCTATAACTTTTGAGATAATTGTATTTGTTGATTCTGCTTTTTGTGAGCTTATTTTCTACTTCTTTTTGGGGTGGCTAATCTTTATTATTTCCTTCACTTGACTCTCTCTGGGCTTAATTTGCTGTTCTTTTTCTAACTTTTTGGGATGGATGCGTAGTGTATTGACCTCAGCCTTTTTTTGTGTGTGTGCAATTAAAGTTATAGATTTCTTTTGAAGTGGGGCTCAAGGTATAACATTTTCACTATCATTCAGCTCACTGTACTTTCAAATTTGTTTTGTAACTCCTGAGACCTATGGGTTATAGAAAAGTAATTTCTGAACTTCAAAATTTATGAGGATTTTTCCTTTACTTCTTGGTTTTTGAGCCTAGTTTAATTGTGCTATTGTCAGATAACATGTTCTTGGTTTCAGTCTTTTGAAAGTTGTTGAGATTTGCTCTATTGCAGTTTTAAATGTTCCATGTGATCCTGAAAGAATGAGTATTGTACGTTTATTGGGTGCTGTGTTCTGTATATTTCCTGCTGTAAAAATATCACCTTTACTTACTGGGAGCTCTTGGCTTTGTTCTGGACCTTCTCTCCCTCTGTCTCTTGCCCACTCCTGCTTAATTTGGATTCTTTTGTCCTGAAGTTTCTCCTCCATGTGGAGGTTTGTCCTGGAAAAGAATTTCAGCAGATTTTAACAATTCTAAAGAATATGGCTACAGCTTATCGTTCCTATTCTTTTTACTTCTACTAACAGGAAGTTAAAAAGAAATGTGAAGAATATTTGTTGACCTCTGCTAAACTAAAGAGCAAGCTAGGAGAGACATAAAATTAAAATTCATCAGAACAATTAGCTTTTTGCAGCAGTTTTTTTTACCATTAGCAGTAGTTAGTTGGTTTAGGTGTATGGAAGGGGCCCTATTCTTAAATTCTAAAGTGATGTGTTGAAATTGATTGTTTATTTTATTTTGAGAAGCAGTGGAGATTAGCAGTTTTGCATTGGCTATATCAAATGATAACTTTTATGTCTAGTTTTTAAAAATTGAACATACCTAATGAACTACAAATTGGTTTTTCTTTTTGTTTCAGATCGAAGACTAAATGAAGTTATTAGGCGATATCAAATGGAAAATTTTTCCAAATATTCATCAATACAGGTATGCAAGGTCTAACAAACTGGTTCATTTGGTTGTAAATATTGGTTGTCGGAAAAGTCATGATGTTTTTTTTTCTATTGTTCGTTGCAAATATGTGTCATGACTTTTCTGACAACCCAATATATCTACATAAATATGAATGCAAAATAAATTCTACTTTGGATTATTCTCATGTGAAGTTGCCTATAGTGTTTTGAAATTTTCGTTACAATTTTGACTTTTGTAAGGACAGGAATGCTTGTTTTTGCTTAATGAATATAAATTCTTTGACCATAGAAATTGCCTTTTTTTTCAGAGTTAAAATGTCTGAGTTGAATTCTAAAATGAAAATTCATTAAAGTTTCAAGACATTCTAAAAGTGTTTCTTAAGATAAATCCAGTTGCAAACTTTAACTCTGAGTCCTCAGAAGTTATGACAGAAACATAAACTAACTCAAAACAATAAATAATATGTGGCATTATTTTTAATATTTCTTTCCTTGGGTTTATTTAAATATTTTTTTAAATATTGTGTTTAAAATTTTTTTACCAATAAGGTGTACTTATTAGTGGACTCTGAGTTACAGAATATTAAATAAAAGAAAATTTATTGCACCTGGATTATTGATAACTGTCTACTGAATCAATAAAGAAGTGTTTTTGCTTTCAACAGAAATGAATCTTATAATTAAAACTGAAATTGTTTTTAAGGTATTAAAAAGAAAGTTGTTTTTAAAGTGTTGTGAAAGGAATAGTTTATTTGGTTGACTTGAGTATATTTATCCTTATAGATATTTTCTTTACCCTAATGTATACTCAATATTTAGCCTAGTGCTCTGTATTTTTGTTTCCAAAGGCCAGACTCAGAGGCCAAGGGCCTTGAAACTACTCATGTGAATCATATTATTTTTATGTTATTTTTGTTATGCATACTTAATTAAGAAGTATTATCATGTAGGTGATATCTTTCATAATCAGGTAGCCTCTAAACTTTGCTCCTATTCTTATGTTCTTTTGCCTCTGCTTAATGTCTTATAGATTGCCTAAAGGGGGATTTAAACAAAAGATGGGTTTTAAAGCTTGAGAAGACTTTTGGGCATGGTGGTGTATCATATCTACTTGAAGCTATGGCTGATTTGATGATGAAAGACGGTTTCACCACATAAAATAATGACTCTAGTCAGCCCTTCAGATGTACCTGCATTGTGCATGGTGATTATAATTTGTTAAAGCCTAATGGTAACATACCAAGTAGGGACAAGTCTCCCCTTACTTAGTAGTGTGCTCTTAGGCGAAATTACAGCTCCCTTAATTCTCTGAAGGTACACGTTCTTCTCTTACATGTACTGTTCTTGTAGCCATGCTATCCTGATTCCTCTCTCTTAGTTTTAGTGGTAGTGTAATGTTACTGCCTAAGATGCCTCTGCAGTCCCCCATCTCTCCAGGACATGTTACTGTGTCAAGACTCCGTTTGGCAGGGGCCATGCCTTTCACTGCATGGCTTGCAGTGGTGAGAGCAGAGGAGAAATGGGAGCATGAGAGGAAGGTGAATCTGCTGTCTAGCAGTAAGGCGCAGGTCCTTGGCACAAGGATAGCAAGGCCTTCCCTCTTTTTCCTTCCTCCTTTTTGTTTGCCACATTATCTTGGCTGTCTTTGGACATTTATTCATTTATAGGAACTTTAAAATCTAATCAGGATCAAGTTTTAAAAATTATTCTATTGGGTTTTCAAAAAATTACATTGCAGTTGCTGTGAATTTTAGAGACTTGCTAATACATACTTACCATTTTGATTATTCTAGACATGCATGAATATGTTATGGTGCCCTGTTTATTTAGATCTTCTTTTATGTCCTTCAGTGAAGTTAACTTTTCAATAGTTATTACAAATTTTTTGTTTTATTCTCAAGTACTTCCTTTTGTTATAGTTATGAATAGGATATTTTTTTCCTATTATATTTTCTAGTTATTGCTGGTACTTGAGAAAGCTACTTTTTTATGTTGCTCTTTCTGGTGACTTAATATACTCTCTTGTTAGTCCTAATAATTGATAGATTATACACAGAGTTTTCTAGGTAAATGGCCAAATTGTCTGTAAATAATAATAGCATTGTCTCTTCTTTTTCAACCTTTAAATCTCTGATCTCCTGTGCCCACAGCAGATTGCATTGACAAGGACTTCTAGTACAATGTAGAATTTCAGCAGTTATAATGAGCAGTCTTGTATTACTGAATTTAATGCGGTGTTTCTGATGTTTCACCATGAAGAATAGTAATTGATGCAGGTTTCTGGTAGATATTCTTTATCAAATTGAAAAAATTGTTCCTATTTCTAGTTTTCCAAGAGTTTTTACCATGTGTGGGTGTTAAAATTTACCAAGTACATTTTCAACATCAATTGAGATGATTATTATTTTTCTCTCCTTCTCCTTTTTAATTGCATTAATAGATTTTCTAAGGTTATAAACATTTTAATTGGATTTAATTTTAAACTGCTGTCTATTTTGGCTAAAATGATGTGAGAAAACATTTTAAGAGGCAATATTAATATTCTCTGTTATAGAAAGCTGTCTTCAAAGGAGAGGGAGATGACACACTAGGAAACTCAGTAGTCGACCAAAGGTAATGTTGAGTTACCAGAAAAATATTATTATATTTAATTATTATTAAAATAACTCCTTTAGTATTAGGAATGTTTATTTTATGGTCTGCTGTGCAGTCATTAGATTTAAATGATGTGTCATTGAATTGAAGAGAAGAAAAAAGCCGCTATTATTGTCTGTAAGAGGGATTCTCTACTTGGGTGCTTTTGTCTCCCCCTCTTCCCCAGATATCTGACAATGTCTGGGAGCATTTTTGCGTGTCACAACTGTGGAGGGTAAGGGTGCTACTAGCATCTAATGGGTAGAAGCCAGGGGTGCTGCTAAACATCCTATAGTGTACAGGTCAGCCCCCTACAACAACAAATTATTCAGCACAAAATATAGTATTAATTGAACTAAGGTTTGAAAAAAGGCAAGGTATTAATTGCTATGGGTGACAGTGTAAATAATAAAGATAGTAAAACTTTTGATGTACAGTTTATTTCACATGTTATGTATTTATTAAACTAGATTAAATGGAATATGCCATATTTTTAATTTTGCATTTTTTCTTTAGCTTTTTAGCACCTCTTATTACTGAATATGATAAACATCTGGAAGAGCTACATGAGCAGCTGAAATATTATCAGGTATGAAATCACAGTCATCAAGCTTTTTATAATATCTTATTATAAAAAAGAAAAAGAAAAATACTCCCTTTTTTTAACCAAAAACATTGATGAGGAAGAAAGTGTTTAGCCCTCTCTAAGAGAGAGAGTGTGAGTGCGTGTGTGTGAGTGTGTGTGTGTGTGTGTGTGTGTGTGTG